AGTTTGGGTCAGGTGTCCTGCCTCTGCTTACTCCCAGCTTCCCCTCCTCCCTGGCAGAACATGAGACTCCTTGGTCAGAGTAAACATTACTGAGCACCAACTAAAAACATCGGTGTTATCAGTGCTGTTCCCAGGCTGAAAGTCAGAAACACAGCACTGCACCAGCTACTAAGACGGAGAAAAATGACTGCTACTGCTGAACCCAGGACAGATGGTCTGTTTCCCAAAGATCTCACAGCTTAACTCTGCCTTGCTGAAGAGGAGGATGGATTTCTTTCACCAGGTGAGGGCCTTTAAAGCTCCTAAAATGCTGTCTGTACAAAAATCTTTGGCAATGAAGAACCCCTATGTGTTTTCAAGTGGCAAATCAGAGTACATATGTGTTTATTTTCCTTGCTGCCCTTTTTAATATGCTCATCACTTCACATTTTCCATTAATTTTCTTCACAAAACAAACCCACCCCAGCACCCCTTGATGCAGAATTACAGCAGTGATAGCACTGCAAACACACCTCCCACAGTGTCTGCTCTGCCCCTCTGCCATCTGTTGCCACAAAATAGTGATCACTTGTAGGAAGCAAATATCTTACACTGCTCCAGGTTGAGGCAACAATTCAAGTGACACGCTGGCCCCTTCAGAAGCATAAAATCAACAGCCAGCCTGTGCTTCTGCCTCAGGACATGGTAGTTGCACACTCCACCACTGTGTGTTGGAGGCAGGGCCAGCTGGACCTGGGACAAAGCAAAACAAGGTACTGCCAGCAGGCAGGAGAACACAGCTCTCTGCTCCTCCAGCCTTATATCACACTGCTAGATAACCAAGCATAACCCACCCGTAAATAAGCTTGGCTGTTTTCTGTGGATGGAGACTTCTGTGGATGGACTGCACCTTCTGTGGATGGACTGCACTGAGGGTGCTGAGATATAAGCCCAAAGGTCTCAGGTTCAAGCTCCAGTGATGACAGCTACAAAAGTAGGTCAGCAAGTGGTAAAAGAGGCAGAGCCTTGGACAGCTCAGCAGTGTTTCGGATGCCTTTCTGTTGTCATTTTGAAATGCTCTTTTTTTTTGTCAGCCCCAGAAATTACCCTCTTGCCTCTACTGCTTCAGCTGTCCGTCACTTTAACAGGAAAGCCAGGAGCTGACTCCACTCAAGAACAGCAGTTTAAAGCCCATGTCCTTTAGGCGATCAATGACCTTGCTCAATGCAGCCCTTTAGCAATCCTCCTGAGCAGAAGGGAAATGTTAGATGGTCACCAGCCCATTTCTGTGCCTTCACCAGGCACAGTCATCCTCCTGCCAGTGTTGGAGGAATTGCATGGGCCTTCATACTGAGGGCAAGAGTTGTGCTCGTTTTGGTGCAGTTCTGCAATTTCTCACTAGGATTTGACCTCAATCTGAATTTACCATGAAATGGGAAGCTAAACAGCAGGAGAGGGCAGAGCAAGTCTGATTTCTGCCTGATTCCATTAAAACTTGTCAATAATTGATGTGCTCCCATGGGATCTTCCAGGTCAGTAAGCGGTGATAAAAAAAAAATGATCTCAAAGTGACTGCTGGAGCAGTTCTAACTGTGACATGCCAGCTGTGGCTTCTCCCACACCCAGTGCAGGGATGCAGCATTAGTACCTGGGGTCTTCATATGCCACCATCAGAAGTTATCATCAAAATTTGATCTAATTTACCGACAGTAAAAACATCACAATTGTAGGTATGTGTATGTCCCATACACACACAGAGAATTACTGCTCCCTTTTTCCTGTTTTCTTGATTAGGCATTTTTTAATTTTTTTTTCTTTATGTTTCCTCTTTACACTTCAAAATCTGTGTACCTCTAATAAAAGACTGCGTATGTAGGTTGACTGAGGTAAGCAAAGAGTAATGCACTTTGTAAAAATGCCACTCATTTTAGTAAAATCCTCAGTGCAAGCCAGAGTAAAAGTAGCCCTTGTTTTACCTCATTCTCCATCCCATAGAATGCCCCCCAGGTGTCCCCAGGGACATTTTTTTCCTGAGCTTTTCAAATGTTTTTACTTATAATGGTAATAGTTATTTAAGTCTGATAGAGCATTTTATGCCTTCCGAGGGCGGAACAAACCAATGAAGTATTTTGCATTATGCAGTATGACAGATCTTTTTAAAGGTTAGAGGAAAACAATTTGTGAGTTTGTTTTGTGAGCCATATTGGCTTTCTCTTACAGCACTGCTAAAGCAAAACGTGCCTCCTGGTTTACCCAAGTCTCCTTTAACTTTGATACTGTTTGAAAGTCAGATACTCTTCTAATCACATCGTAGCTATTTCTGTTTTCAATACTTCTAGGGAATGACAGGCTGCATAGGAGTATTTACTGAACACAGTTCTCAAAACATCAACCTTCTGTTCTCCAGAGTGATGCTACACTGTCCCTCCATAGAGCAGTCACACAGTAAAGGGGCCTTGGCCAGTTTGCACACTTTTAGAAACAGCTAAACTTCATATTCTTCATTCTTACAGGTTTAAATCGATTTCTTTTGACACTCGTGAAAGTTCTGAGAAACGTTGAATATGCTCCTTGTGAAATAAAAACGAAGGGCAATGTGTGCAGATATTTGTTCCCCTTCCAAAAAACGGAGAGGTTTCTTGAAGTTCTCTCAACACAGATTTTCTTTTTTCATGATTTGTTTAGTCACTGATCAGTTATGCTAATTTCAGTGGAAAATGTGTTTTGAGATTTTTATTTCTGTATTTTCTGGTAGGCAGAAGATCTCCATAAGCCTCCACAAATGTCAGTGGAAAACAAAGCGACAGTACATCAATGATTTATTATTTGGTATTTTGAACCAGAATAAAGCAAATAACGGGCTTCAAAAATTATTCATAGGACTGATACGATTCCTTTTTTTTTTTTTTTTAAATGCATGAATTGTTGTCACTACAATTAGAAGATCATCAAAGCCTCATTTTGCTCATCAGTCTTCATGGCAGTTGTTTTGCACCCACGCATGTTCTCTTCTAATTCAGTTGAGGAGCTAATGAATAACTCCTCCTAACAAAAGGGCCATTCATCCCAGGCTTACAGAATTATTAGAGGAGAGTTGCGTAAATGTCACTGAAGACTAGTGTTTGCAGGCCTGTCTCTAAATTTGGTTATTCACAACCTTTGCAGCTCAATATTATTGCTGAACTGTGATCGTTTTCTAATTACCTTAATAATACCTATTAAATCACTTGAATTGCGTAAGCGCAGACCTGCTTAAATACAACTTAACCTAATAAATACTGGTCATTCATTAAACAATAATGCACATTATTTTTAGGAAAGTTGAACAGAATATTAAACTCACCAATTCCTGCATCATTACAAGCGTGTTATTACAAGCAACAAAGCATTTACATTTTGTTTGGGAAACTTGCAGCTTCATGCTTTCACACCAGAAGAGTTATTGAGACACAGTAACATCCTACTCTTCAGTATCTGCCCTATTTGTAACTGGCCACCTACACACAATCAACAGGGAGAAAAAATAGTACTTTCACCTTAATGAGGGCAATCCAATTACTAAAGATGGGAAGAGAATGAGAAGCATCAATCTCTTGGCAGACAGCCTTCTTTAGGAAATGCGATTGTCAAAACACCAAAAACAAGAGGTGGCTGTAGGCCATTTATCTTGGTATTTGGCGTCTATCCCAAGAGATAGAAGCCTCTTGTCCCTGTCTGGTTTTTGAGGTTTCCAAAAAGCCAACCACCCTTACACAGCTCAGCAGTAAAAAAAAAAGCTAATCAAAACAAATCCTCAAAGTCTTTTTTGAAGACTTTCTCACAGGTGGTAAAGTGGGTACCATTTCATAAAAGGCTATTCTTTCATTTAAGGAAAAAGATGCTAGCCTTTAAATAACAGTTGAAATAGGTTGGCACTATCAAATATAGAAAATCAGTTAATAAATATAAAAGGTTGGGCAAATGCTGTCTTGCTGAATTGATTACTTCAGTGTTAGAATAGGGGCAACAACTGCTAAGAAACATGGCATTTAAAAAAGCCAGCATGTAGATATTGTGCTAGGTTGCCCACCTAAGACAACAAAAAGATCAGGTGCCAAAACATATCTAGGTTTTCAGCGTTGTGCAACTGCTTGTCATGAAAGCACCATATTCAGCTTTCTAAAACAGAGGTAAATAAACACACATTTCCAATCAGGCTCCACAGAGTCCTTTCAGCACAGAACTACAGCCCCCTCTGAAGTCTTTTACACACATGGTTCACAGTCCCATCCCCATTTTGGGCCTGGCAGGAGCTCCCAGATGTCCCGTCCCTCTGTGGGAGGTCTCCACAGCTTCACTCCATGTGTGTTGGGGAGCACTGGCAAGGCTGGCTTGGTGGGAGGATGACACGGTCCTGGGTGTTTGGGACTGTCAGTTCAGGTGAGGCAAAACCTTGCCTCCAACCTGGAGGGGCCAGGACAATGTCCCTGTTATCTTCTACGCATTGGGGGAAGAGCTGTGTGGTTTGGGTCTGTGTGCCCGATACTGCCGTTGCTATAGCATGGCCACTGACTCTAATTGTATTAATGGCATCTCACACTCCAGAGGAGTCATTAAGGACTGTTACTAGGCACAGGCTGCTGCTGGCTTGGTAACTGAGATAGCAGATACAGCTCCTGGAAACCTCATGGGTTCCCTCCAGGGGATGAAATTCAGCTCAGGATAGGTTTTTGAAAAAAGGGGAAGGGGAGAAGGGGTTGGGGAGGATGTAGATTCAGGTTCAACAGGCAAATAATTCCAAACCTGTGACAACCAACAGTAGATTTCTAGCATTCAGCGTAAAGGTGCTTGAGCTAAGAGAGTTTGGAAAAAAGGCAAACAGTGTTTTTTGTCCTTCTAGTTACTGTTCCATTTGAGATTTTGCACTAAACTGTACTTCTATGACAGTCACTAAAACCTCTCTACTTTGAAAAATGTGATTTTAAAGAAAAAAAACCCTGACCAAACAAAACCCACCCCCAAACACACACTGCTTCATTTACCTGATTCTCCTCTTAGTTCTCTCTCCAGTTTGACACCAAAAATCTCCAGAGCTCTTTGTCTTTCCTCCAACTCTTCTAACTGTCGCTGGACTGCCTGCAAAATTGTAATGATATAAAAGCTACAGACATAGCTTAAAAATTCAGAGACAAAAAGATAGTCTCAGTGGTTAGAGAAACAGCTTGCAAGGGTCTCAGAGGAGTCATGGGATTTGCAAACTCATTGAGTACATTAGGTGCCTAAGCAATTTAATAATCCCACTAGGTACCGAAATCCAGCAGGTATGGCTATGGTTTGTGTGGGTAGGTATTGTAGTCACTAGAAAAACCTAGGTTTTTTTCTGAACTCCAGCTCTCGTGCTGTAAAACAGAGATCATAACATTTCTGTCTTTCAAGGTGTCAAAGTCAATAATTTACACATATATTCTGAGATGCTACCTGAATAAAGGTCATATAGTATTGAAGGTTTACAGCTAGAAAGCTTTGCTAACTATTTTGTTGTCTATGGGATTTTGTTGTTTCTTTCTTTTGCTTTCATATTGCCAGGCTTTTGACACATGAAGGAAAGAGTCTAATACCTAAGAAGTGGCACTTTAGGAAGGACTTCTACATTCACTGGTCCATCCCCTTTTAAACAAGATTTTCAGAGGTGCCATGTGGATTATAGGCACGAAACATGTCAAAGGTAGATGCTCAGCAGTTCTCATTTCAGGATGTGTTATGGCATACTAAGCCAAGCCCTCAGCAACAGCCTGATGAATATGAAACATAATTCAACAAGTTTGGACTTCATTATTTCCAGAAAGGGGTAAAATAAGACAAGGTGTTTATGTACCTATTTTTTAGCTTGAGATAATTTACAATTCTTAGCTGAAAAATAATACAGTTGCTCTTACTTTAGATTAAATAAGACGCTGGGTTTTCTTCCCCATGGGTTTTATTCTGTCACAGATTTTAGAGCAACAGCTAGATATAAGCATTTTCTAAAATCCACTGGTTCAAACACAAAAATTCTCTCCTTTTCAGCAGTGCATTTTACAAAGGCAGTGATGTCTGCAAAACCAGAGATTTCAGATTCATATCTGAAAAACAATTTAGTAGTTCCCTTTTTTAATTTAATATTGGTAAAGAAGTAGCCAGTGGAAGCTCCACCCAAAACTCCCCACCTGCTGAATACAACACAAGATAATGACAACTTCTGCTCTTTTCACTACCATATCTCGATTACCGTTACAGCCTGAATTAATGAGATTAAATCTAGTTCAGGTTTCTCTGCCCTGTGCTACTGTACATACACACACAAAAATTGCTAATGGCCACATAAGCCATTAAGGGTTGGGGTTTTTTTTGTGTGTATAGATATATATATATATATCTATACACATACACATATGCATATGAATATGTATGTATGGTAAGTGAAATAGATAAACCCAAAAATTTTGACACCTGAGAGAATATAGTCTGAGATCAAGTTGTGCACAAGTGCATCGCAAAATCTTTGAACTGTAATTGAAAATAATAAACATTAGCGGAGTCCAAAGCTTATCCAGCATCTTCCAAAATGCAGGGCCTGCATATAGCAAATTGACCTTGCATCATTAAGAGAGAAAATGATTCACTTTCATTGTTATGGCAGAGAGAGAACAAAACCCATCACTGTATTTTCATACCCTCCTGTAATACATAGGGCTAATAGTGGAGTTTCTTACATTCTCAGGGACTCATGTTACTTCCCCTTTCTATCTCCTTCCCTCTTCAGTGTATTCTTCTCTTATTGCCAGTCACTATTCCCTCTTGTTCTTCATACAGTTACAAAATTATGATGGTCTCCTGGGGCACATGTGGATTTGTCACAAACAGAGCTGCAAGACCCTGCCACATACACCTTCTTGCTCCTGACTGATAGTTTGACAGGGCTTCAACACAGAAGGCCATAATGAGAAGTGAGAGGAAGCGCAAACCCCATACTGGGTACCCCCATACTCACTAGTCCCATTTGTCTTCCTATAGTGACACCTGTGAGTTACATTTTCACCTGTGCTTTGTGAAGCCTCTTCAGTTCCTCTTGTTTAATCAATTGCTTTGTCTCCCTCTCCAGCTTCCTTCTCCTTCTGATAGACCATTTTGCCTACAAAAGAGAGAGAGGAATAAAGAAAGGCAATCAGAGCATAAGTATGCCATTACAGGTTTCCTCAAACCTCCCAGAATCCCAGAACATTAAGGGCATGGGAGAGACCTCTGGATCTCATCTAACTTGAATCCCCTGCTCAAAATAAGGTGCACTGCTGCAGGGTGCTTGGGGCAACCTAACTGAAATGAAAATATGCATGTAGGAATATTTTCATGCATTTGCCTACATGACTTTAAATCATTACAAGCTCTTATTGCAACCCTCAGTGGGTGTGAACTGTGTCTATCAATAAAAGAAAAGTCTGAATGGCAAGGTTGCTTCTGCAGACATCACCATGACCAGAGAAAAAGCCAGGCACAGGGAGGAGGAAGCGCTGGTTTAAGGAAACTCAACCTGTTTCTACTGTTGTAGCTGCTAAGTAGTAAAATTCACTTTGGATCGCTTATAACACAGTAAAAAGGATACATCCCTTTATTAGAAACAGCCATCATAGGACACTATCTGCAGCCCTATGAAATATTCCCCAGTGCCAGTTCTCTACAGCATTACAGAGGGTTTTTTTTCCCTTTTCCCGGCGTACCTGTCACTGCTGCTGGGAAAGCAGGGCAGCTACAGGGCTGCCTGAGGGAATCACCTGTGCTTGCTCCATACTGCCCTTGACCCAAGTGATCTGGAAGTGCTTTAAAGCTGTGGGTTTCCCATTTTGGAGGAGACAGAATATATGAGCACCATAGATAAGACAAAAAAACTATCAAGTGATGATGCTGCTTGCTAAAATTTTCCCACTGAGTTTTTCCAGAGACACAGAGAGTGGCAAAATAGCAGGCAGAACTGGCATGCAAAGAAGTGCTAGGTGGTAGCTGAGAGAAACAAGCTGAGTGGAGAACGTGCATCAAAACTGAATCACTACTAATGCCCATATGTGACAGCTGCTCATTCACATTGGTTCTGGCACTGCCTGGCAGTGCTGCCTTCCCCGCTGCCTGACCCTGCCTGTTCCTGTGCCTGCCTTAACTATTTGGTGTTGCTCCTATCCAGTTTTCTCCTATACCTCCCTTCTTTTCTCTATTTTGTTTAGACTTTATTTAATTCACCGTTGTATCATCTTACTATAGACTGCCTTTCCTGTAACGGGAAAGATGAATGATGGATTCTGACATCTCGGCACACCCTGAAATAGAGCCACTGGCGGGATGTGCCACCACACACTGCTGCACTTCTGCCTCCTGGCACTTCTGTTCTTCTGGAGCTGTGCAACTGGGTTTCCATTTATAGCCCCACTTAAGTTTCAGCTTGGCTGTTTTTCCAGCGTACTGGGCAGCCTCTTGCTTTGCTTTCCCTGTTTCCATCCTACCTCAAAGGCAACAAATCAAAAGGCCACTTTGTACTATTAACTCCACTTACTGATATTCTCCACAGGAAAGAGGTAAACACATTTCTGATGAGCTATTCAGGCAATAAAAGCTCTGTTTCTTCACATCAGAGCTAGGCATCAAGAGTTCATTGGTGCTTTAACCTCATCCTAGCCACAGGAAACAGATTAGGGCTCAGAGACCCCGCTGTGCAGCCAGCCCTTTCAGCGTGTAGGCTCTGGGTGCAACTTGGTGGCTCATGCAGTGCCACTGATTAGGATAAACAGAGGTTTCCAAACAACCTGCCTGTAGCGCTTCTCAAATGAAGTTGTATTTTCCCATAGGAAATCTGCATCTGTTTGCTTTATTTTTTTTCAATAGTTTGGTTGTTGGGCTATGCATTAAGGCCATTTAAGAGTGCAGCCTCAAAGTAGATTCAGTGAAACATCTCTGTCTGTCAAATTAAGACCTCCTCTGTCAACACTGGTGCAACCTGGGGGAATTAAAGATTCAAAGAGGAAAAAGGAATTTTAATGTTCACGTTCCTTAAAGAGTTTTAATGTGTTTTTTCTCCATTGCACATAACCTCCACTGATAAAATATTCCAAACCCCACTTTGAGAAATTGCTGTGTGTTTTAGATCAAAATCATATGATGAATCTTAGCTACAGTCCAACTGAGGAAATATCTTTCTGTTTCCAAGTCAAGATTACCTTGTGTGTTAATGAAGGCTTGCATTCAAATTCATCATCAGAGGAAGAAGTGGAATACTCAGTAACTTGTTTTCTAACAGTTAGGTGTTCACATCCTAAAATGCAGGAACAAAATAGTTAGTGAAGCAAAAAAATACTGTTCTCTAACTTATATAGACACTTTGCACCTGCCCTGAGTCCTAATCAGCAGCACCTAGAGCAATGTGGAAATTTGGCTGATGGCATTAATTAGATTCTTGATGCCTTTCAAAAACTCTATCTGGATATATTTGATTTTTTCAGGTATTACGTACAAATAAATTAATTCCTTGAGCACCCTGCGTGCAGCACGCTGCTCTGAATGCACTCAGCATTCATTAAAATGTATATCTGAAGTTAGCCATATTACCCAAATGATTGTATAAGGCTCACTATACAGTGTAATTGAATGCAAAAAGTCTGAACCAGCTCTTAAACAAATTACCCTTATGTGGCTTGTAGCATCTGGCACCCATTTTTACTACATGACATCTGCTCAGTGTAAAATAGTTGGCGTCAGAATGTCTGGTCATATAAAAAAATCACAAATGTAATCAGAAGCAAATGGACTAAGAGAACAAGGCTTTATCACACAGCCGCATGCAACATAAATATTTCATTAATTATGTCTAAACAAATGTCACTTATTTTTCTGCTTTAGGAATATTATCACATCATTGAACTGTTGATTAAAATGCCATAATAAGTCAGGAAAATCCATACATCACAACAATGCACTCCATAAGGAAATCTCCAAGGCTGCCGCTGGAGGAAGCATGCTTTCAGATTTATAAATTAAATTACATTTAATTGCAGCAATTTTACCATGCCTGTTTTTCCAGCATCTTGTTTCAACTGGGTGTAAATATTTGAATTTCTTCTTAATTTGTCTAATTCATAGCTTCATTCTCTTTATTTCAGAAAATAAAACCATTTTTGGAACATCTGTCCCTACACTTCAACCTGCTACAGGGTTAATGATTAACAGCTGGGCAACATCTTGGAAATGTACATTATTTAAAGCTAACAGTGCCATTTTCCTTTGTATCTTCCAGGTAACAACTGGCTGCCTGTGTGCAAGTTGTATTCAGATTAAAATCACTTCCCATTCTCCTAGTGTAAATGTTTCTTCTCTGCTTTGTCCTGGATCCCAGTCCTGAAGTAGGAATTCCATCTCAAGCCCTAATTTAAAATCAGGATCCATGAAACAGATTCATCCCAGACAGTAAAGCAATACAAGCAGATCCAAGTAATTTGAGGCAGAGATTCTGATTTTTCTGTGCAATCTCAACATTGGAAGAACCCAGTCCTTTTGCTAAATGAAGCTGCAACCTCAGAGGGTCCAGTAGAGCAGGTTTGGGTCCTGCCATCCTTTTTGCAGGACAAGTCCTTGGGCAGGAGACACCTGCAGTTGAAAGCAAGAAGGTTCAATAGCTCTCCAGGTGGGTCTCCAACTCCCAGGCAATTCCCCTGCTCCAGGATTGCCCAAGGCTGCCACTTGGAGGCAGGGACACTGTCCTGCTTGCTGACCTGCCAGGGACTCTCCGATGGCTCAGGATTGCTGAGGTCAAACCAGTGCCACACACTGCCCCATGCTCTGCAGACCAGAGTGCAAATCCAGCCTCGCCCCGTCTCTGCCCCCAGCAATGACCCGCAGGCATAAAGCCCTTCCCAATGCATGAGATGGAGTAAGACATGGGGAGTATCAGCCACTACTTCTTCTGGGTAGTAAAGTTACATACCTTGCTTTTCCCTGTGCAACTAAAAGATTGCAGTAACTACCCTTCAGTCATGCCCATGGGGAAATCAAATTCCCTAACATGCAAAGGGCAAAATTTACAGCCCAGCATGGCAACTACACACTCCCTTTCTTCTCTCAGCTGTGAGAATAAGTGACTGCTTGCCTATGTCTTCCCTTTTGAGTGGTACCAATAATTCAAAAAGCGTTACAAGGTCTCCAGGAAAACCAGCATGCTGTAACACAAGGGCACCCGCCTCCTCCTCAGGGCTGGGACTCGGGAGCTCCTCACCTTTTAGACACAGTCAATGGCTTCCCCAGGGACTTCCAAGAACAACCTCACGAGCACAGGAAGCCCATGTCTGCACACAGAATACTTTCATAACATCCACAGTCCTCCCTGTGACAGTCTACTATGGAGAGCCAGGTATTTGCACCTTGCTTTGCAGAGAAGAGCCATTTTGATTGCTCCAAAGCAGCTCAGCCTTTAAAGCGACACAGTACCCAAAGACCTGTAAGACAGTAGCCACCTAACTGAGATCAGCAATCTCCTTCATTGTCTCCACCTGAGCATCCTACAGGATTGATGGAGGACCACATGAATCTGCTCAGTGATGAGGCATCTGAGGAACCTACCTGCACACATTGACAGTTACAGTCTCTGTCACATTTATTGCATATATAGAATCATAGAATCGTTAGGGCTGGAAAGGACCTTAAGATCATCTAGTTCTAACCCCCCTGCCGTGGGCAAGGGACACCTCACACTAAACCGTATCACCCAAGGCTCTGGCCAACCTGGCCTTGAACACTGCCAGGGATGGAGCATTCACAGCCTCCCTGGGCAACTTATTCCAGTGCCTCACCACCCTAACAGGAAAGAACTTCTTCCTTATATCCAATCTAAACTTCCCCTGTTTAAGTTTTAACCCCATATATTTCATGGCACTGATGTTCTCTACTAATTTAATGTGGATAATCGAAGTCACAGGAAAAAGAAGGTGTCTGGAAACACACAAATAGTGACAGAATTGGGATGAGAATACAGGGTGTTTGCGGCATTTCATGACACAGACTGAAGTTGATGCGGAGACTCAAATCCTCGTTTATTACCACCAAGCCCTTTTTATCCCCTTGTTCGGTACTTTCCCAACCTGCACATACATGCGACATTCAATCTCATTGGTCCCTGTAAAACTCTCCAGGTAAATAGTCCAATCACGATGTTGCAGGCCCTCTCACAACCCCCACATCCTCTGGCCTCCAACTGAGATTCCCGCCACAGCTACATCCTGACCCATGCTCCCGAGGCTTGCTTGTTTACCTTCCCTGCCCTTCAGTGTTTCAACTCATCACCCCAGGGCTTGTCAAGCGCCAAGGCCTCAGAGCTCATTCCCAAAACCTTTTTCATGCAAATCTTATCACCTTCACTCCCCACAGGCTTTGGCTCCCAGATATGTGGTCTTGCCATATTGTAGGGGTACAGAAAGAGTGGGACAATGCATTTCTTTCAACATTAAAAGGGCACCCACCGACTGCTCTGCTCAACTATTTTTCTTTGGCTATTTCCAACCAAATTAACAAAAAAAAAAAAAAAAAATCCAACCAAAAAACCCAAACCACTCTTCCTTATCACAGCATCTATATGTTCTATTCTAGATGACTGAGCATTAAACTTTCCCACCTCCTAAGGGCTGGAATAAGCAGAATTTAGCTGCCAGCTGTGAGGATATGGACAAGGAGTTCACATATAAGTTTATGGACTTTTACACTTACGGGTTCATTTAGATTTGAAACTTAGAATTGTAATAGTAAAGTTAGATAATAATAAGAATTTGTCCACTCCAAGTATGTCAAGCCTTAAAGCCTGATAGCTACAAAAAAAAATCTCAAAAATAATATGTTTTTTTCCAAATCTTAATTCAGTTCTTCTAGATTTGGGCTTTCTCTTTCTGGCCATCTTATTCCTTCTAGGGAGTTATTTATTACTTAATTACTTTATTTCTTAAGTACTCTAGCATCTCACAACTTCCAAATTAACTGGGGAGCTTTTCCTCCCCAGCTAACATGACTTTGGATCACTAGGAATGGTCAGCTGTAGTTTTAGTTCTTAATTGTAAGGAGGAAAGGAATAAATATCTCTGTTCTTGATTTCTACCTCACAGTAGCTACTAGGAGTTTGGTCAAGACACCTTTCCAGCATATCTGATTTACAACTGTTAAATCACAGGAAACTGCAGATTATTTAATATTATTATTAATTGTTATTCAATCTGACAGTGTCACGGAATACACTACAAAGTTGGAGGAAACCTCCAGTTCTTGATATTGGGACTTGGTATCTTCACTTGTGTATGTCACAAGAGATAAGAAAAATTACATCCATAAAATTAAAATCTGGTCCTATGCCAGTTCGTTAGAGTTTGGTAATCCAAGGGTGTGTCTCAAAGACACTTTGCTTCCACTTAAAGTGCACTGCCACTGAATGCCACCAGCAGCAAAACCCTAACTGCATTCAGAGTGATCTACTGGACCTAAGTCCAGTGCTTTTGAGACACCTCCCCCATATAAATCTAAGGTACTGGTTTTCCTAACATACTTAAGGTCCTCTGAACAAAGAGGGACCTGTCATATGAAGATGTTAAGAGGGTGATACCTTCTGTTAGATGGGCAAGCACTGCTGACTGCCCTAGAGATTAATGGGGAAAACCACCACTTCTGTCATTCTGCATGTCACAGCTCACCTCCCTTTTGTGGGGTGTTTCTGTGTCATGGTAGTAACTGCAATCTAAATACGTAGAAAGTCTTGGAGCAGGAACTGTTTTGATAACATTGTGTTATTTTAATCTGTTGGCTTCCTGTGTAACTGTCCAAGATTCCATATTTTTGTAAAGTTATTGGTGTTAACCATGACCACTTTAAGTACTTCAGTGTTTTACAAAAGAGAGGCAAAGCCACACACATCTCTTTGGCACTGGTGTCCCAAACCAGACAGGAATTGGCGTGAGGCAGGAGATGAAAAGGCCAGTAGAAATCAAGAGTGGGCTTCACATCTCTGCTTCTCCATAGATTTCTCATATGGTCTTAGGCCTGAAATTTAATCCTGTAGTGCCTCAGTCCTCTTCTAAAACACAAAATCACCAAGATAACAGTGTCCTAGCTGCCAATAACATTACCAACACACAGAATTTCAGTGATTCAAAGATGCAGTAATAGGAACCATGTGTGAACCTGAAATACTTGCAAGAAATGCCTTTTCAATCTGGAAGTGCACAAAACCAGCAAAGTGAGTTCATAACACATCTAATTTTCTGATCAGCAGAACTGGTTGTCCTGCTTAATGAAGTGAGCCATGTAAACAACACACAGTCACAAACTGAGTTATAACAACTCCCAGCTAAGGGGCAGTTCTCGGAATGCATCTTTCCACATGATCCCCGCTCAGTCAGGGACAGAAATATTCCTCCCATCTCCACTACTACAAAGAAGCAACCCTGGAGTCACAAACATCTACCAGTAACCAACCACCTTCATGGTCTGGTCCTCTGAAAGTCTGTCAGTCAAAAGTACGAGAAAACAGTTAACAACCTGATTGATCAATTTTATGGATCAAGTCTGGGTTTTTTCAACCACAGGTTGGAACACAAAGGATGAATCAACAGATAAAAGCCTCAAAGATGTTTGTGCAGTAAATCAGAAGTCCGGCATTGCACCTGGAAACTCCAGTGTGGTCATTTGGAGACGTTTGTATATTCTACTGGCAAACTTGGACAGGGTTTTACTTTTTAAAAAACTCATTCTTTCACTGAAAACAGCACATGAACCCCCATTACTTCAGTAAGATTTGTCTATGTCCCACACAGGTAACCTGTGCAGCCGGATCTCTACACAGTCCAAAATTGCCAAGTGGCTCTGAGGAATGGTTCTTACGAAGTGTTAGCCTGAAAGCTTTTAGACCAGGTCTGGATATCAGAAGCTGGAAAGACCCATATGGAAGGTGTAATGCAGGCATAAGTTTGAGCTACAGGTAATCTGCTTCTGAGCAATTAAGATCTCTGCTTCCTCATGCTGACCTTCAGCTGGTGGCTGGACACTTGGCAGGAAGTGACAGAAGGACAGAATACAGTTTTAGTTTGAACAGACACCTGGGTCTGTAATGCAGAAGTCATAAGCACAGGATAGACATTGTGATGTGTATTTGCAGGTAACATAACTAAGGTAAGGTGTAAGAAAAGATGAGCAACATAACAGAAGTAGATGTGTAGAGTGAGACTGACGGTCCTTCCAGGCTGCCCAGCAGTGGATGTCTAAAGGAACACTATAGACACCAGGGAGTCATACATGATTCCTCCTGTGACACTCACCCAGCCTCCAAGCATTTTTCAATTCAGGAGCTTTTTAAATTGGAAGTGGTTTCTAAGCATTTGGTTACTCCCCAGTGAGCTCAGCCAGTCTCATCTCAAGCCCTGCACTTTAATCACCCAGCTCATTCTTTGGCTCCACAAGCCAGCAGCCTATTGAGGGAGAAAACACCAGTGTAATGTGAGACCCACCATACTTGCACAGAATGAGTCTGGCCTCAAGTAGGATAGAAAAGCCCTACTGGAAAGAGCCAGGAGGAGTATGAGAAAGAGCCTCATTAAATTGGTTTCTGCCAGATGCTGGGAGTATTTTTTTCTCTTTAAAGAAAAGAAATTTTCTGAGATTCATGGTAAATTTCAAGAGAGAAAAATAATGACGTAATGTGGGCTAAAGCTCACCATCAGTTCATGAATGAAGTTTGCCAAGCCTGAGCCTCAGACAAGTGCCAGTAGGAGACAGAAATGCCATTTGAGAGAGTCAAGCAGGACTTGGCTCTTTTATAAGTTTAATTTACTCAAATATTAAGGTTTGAAAAAGTTCAGGGAGGTTCAATGTTGAAACACTGAGGATGACAGATTCCTGGACAAATGGCTAGATCAAAGCTGCATTTTTTCCTCTGAACAGACTTTGCAATGCTTATATTCAATAATTATAATAATTTAATCATTCCTGTTTTGGCTTGCACAACAGAGGAAAGCAACACATATTAAACCAGCATGTTTTCCAAAATATTTAAAACATAAATAAAGCAAAGCAATATTCAAACCTAACAAGAGCTTTTCCCATTCTCATAGGAACACCACATACCAATTATTGTAATACATTTTGTTAAAAGCAAGTCAGCTTGACTTAGTTGATAGATAATGACTACTCATAGACTCAGAAAAAGCTCCCCATTTAAGACCACAGCATGACTAGTGAGAACACCAGCAACTCTCTGTGGGTTCAGTGCAGTCCTTAGCATCCTCTGGCACAATGGGGATGCCTGGTTTTGTGAGTTGTTAGGTAAAGGATGCCCCCAAGAATCCAATCCAAACACTCAGGAATAAGAACAGGAGTTATTGTATCAATTTCGATGATATTTAATCAATATTAATTATCAAGTCTCTTTCAGTATGCGGTAGTTCTGAAGCAAAAAAGATGCAAAAAGGCTTTGGCTGCTTACTGGGAACTTCAGTGACTTCACATTTTATATACAGATTGTTATTTTAATGCTGCAATACAGCAGCAATTTTGGGGTTACAGTTTGGGTTGTAATTTAATAAAGTAAGAAACAAACAGGTAAGTCAAAATTCAATAGGTTATAGTTAAATAACTGACTTTCTCCAATGGGGTAGTGGAAAGATGGATCACAGTGGTAAGGCTCTCATACCTTATATTTCAGACCTGAAACTGTACTGCACTTAATTCTTTTTGAGCCGATGCTCAGATTACTTGGACTCTTCTTTGTCTCTGACATCAATATTTCTGAGATTGGTCTGCAATTTTAGTACTAACCTTGTTCTTCCAAGCAAACATGAAAATTGATGCCTTTTAATCGCTGCCCAGACTCACAAGTAGGCCAGAGTAGGTCAGTAAGGAGCTATATCTCCTCTCACATAAAAGAACAAGGGCATATTAATGAAACCACAGGGTCCCTAAAGCAGTTCTACAGTTTGGTCACACAACAGTAGACAGAGCTGAAGAGACACCTGCTGAGGAAGCGCATACACAAAGCACAGCTGCTTGCTGTTGCAAACATACCGCTTCAGCCTCTGAGCTCCTCATGGAAAGAGTAGCAAATGTACTCTGCACTGCACTTGAGTTTTCAGTGCTTGTCCTTCTGCTTGTCTGCTGCAGTCCCCCTTCCACCACACCCAGGGTCACAGCAGCAGTTACCCCGCTGCCAAACCACTCCTTCCACCTTGACCAGAACATTTGTCTGACCTAAACATATTTGAACAGCATCAAGCAGCAGACCAAACTTGGGGCCAGCAAGCTGCGTGCTGCTTGCAAATCCATTCTGCTCCTTTAAACCAGAAGCAGGTCCTAAACCTTAACCAAAAAAATAGATTTATTAAGTCTTCATGTGTAGAAAGTAACTACAAATTAAACATAGCGTACAACAGATAGGTGTTTGCGTGATCGCACAGATATTTTAAATGTTAGCTGCTATTAAATCATCATCATAACAATAATAATTCAACTTGGGGCCTCACCTGTGGAAGGGTAACAGAGCCTGGTTTCTGGAGAATGGTCCCTCACAAAAGGCAGAAATGACACAAAGGAATTCCCTTCTCTGTCATGAACTTTACTTCTCAGTCTATCAAAGAGGGACCCAAGACTACTCTTCTGTGCAGAGTCATTCAGATTGTCCTTGGGGGTGTTCTTGGGCTCTGGAGATGAAAGAAGGAGGTACTTTTCATTACAGATAAACATGTCATCCATGGGAGCCCCTGGAAGAGTATCTTTGAAGGTAAACTTTTCTAGGAGTCCTGGAACATCCTCCATCCTAGTGCAAGTTGATTTCTGAGGTATACTGGCTGTCTGGGAAGACCTGGTGTGAGAACTGTAAACTGGGAAGGATACCTCCTTGCTGTAACCCCCTGGAGATCTCTCTTCAGAGACAACAGAAAAATTACATGAATTTGAGAAATTGCTCCCATTTCCTAAATATTCTCCTGCCCACTCCCCTGCTTTAAGCTCTGGTGGCTGAGTGTTATTTCCCCAGCTATTGTTACTGTTCCTTTGGCTTAGGGAATAGCCAGGAGTACTGGGGAAGCTGAAGAAACCTTTTTCTGAGGAGGCTCTGACTTTGCTGTTTGAGTCTTGCTTTGGTCCCTCTGAAGATGAGGTCAGAGGCTCAAAAACAGACCTTTTGATAGCATTGGCTATGAGCTTCAGCGGTGACTTTGGTGGGCCAGCTGCAAGCTCCCTGGCAACTACATCTGGACTCCTCAGAGCATCTTTTGTGTTAACTGGCAAAGCTGGTGGAGCATCATTGGCAAATAAGAGAGGCACAGGACAACCAGACTGTTTGAACACAACTTTTGCCCAGTTAGCATCGTTCTCCTGTGAAGTCCACAGCACTCCTTTGTTTTGACACCCTGAGCTAGTTCTGCCTAAGTCTGTCCTGTTAGAATCATATGACAAGGGCAGCTGTTGAGCACATAGCACCGGCCTCTTTTTTGCCTCCTTTAGTTCTTGCTCAAGCTTTTCTTCTGGGTGCCTTGTATTTTTGCCATCTTTCTCCTGCAAATCCAGAGATGACAGCACTTTTGTCTTCCTAATAATATCTTCTGGTTCAGAAGTATATTTCTGGGTTTTTTCCTTCCAGCCCTGGGCTTTGTATGTCCCATTGTCACTATCTGTATCTTCAGCCTCAGAAAAATCAGCCAGTGTCCCTTTCCCAGGAGGGGTCCATGGAGAACCTCTGGTACTGCTCTGAAAAGGAGAACAATGGGGCACATAGACATGGATGTTTTCATGCATCTCTCTGGCTTTTTCTTTTCTTTGAAATACTGGGCTGTAGGGTTTGAAATGTCCTCTTGTGATTTCCGGTGGTTTCTTATGAGCCAACTGTGGAGTGCATGAAAAAGAATATTTTAGGGATAGAAAAAGATAGTTTAGTTTATCTTTTATTTCATGTCATATTTTCATAAATTTTAATCTAACATAATACTAGTTAATGTATATACTCATATATATGCATGTATATATATCTAATATATATATGCATAATGTATATACTTATTTAGATGACAATACAGTAAGAAAAGCCTTTCCCCCTAAATGGCTAGGAGTGGAGATCTAATCTTACTGGAAATATTAATAGTCTAAAAATAACATTCACATTAAGAACCTGTCATATCTTTACGAAGTGCCTTCAGTGTTTTCCTCAGAAAGAAATAGTCCTATATCTATAGGAAAACAAACAAGAACAGATCTGCTCTTTCCTCCTGTGTACATTCCAGTTGCATCACCTTAGTGTTTCCAGCAAGCCCAAGAGACCATCAGCCATCTTTCCAACTGCTTCTATAATATTGCATGTTTACATAGCATAAGTACGAAGTGACCCTGACAAGACCATTAAATGCAAGACAGTAATTTTAAACAATTCAATTAGTTCTCTCTTATGACTGGTTTTCCTTTAATTAAAGTTTTAATTCATTACCCTAGCCATTGAAATCTTCTGCTGGAGATAGTAACAAGGAGAAATGACCACATTATCTAGCCAGCACATCAAAACTAGAGGGTTGGGGGTTTCTGTCTTTCTAAAAATGGAGGTGTTTTAACCTCAATGCTATGTGATAATGGATGGTGCAAAGATTCAATTCCTGTTTCTATTTATGTGCCAGATTCCCAAATCTACATGGGTGAAGCCGCTAATCCATCTGACTTCTTGTTTCCCAGAAACATGGGAAGTAAGGAAATAATGATTACCCTGTTTCACAGTTGTATTTGTTGACCAAAGTTAATATTGGCCAGGATTTCAGACAGAAAAACATGTGAAACACTAATAAATAAATGAGGACCCTCTTATTTCTATTCTAAAGAGAGAGAGGATTAAGGCTGCTAAGCACTGCTTCTGGAGTGGGAGCTGCAGAGTCACCTCTCCTCGTGCACAGCGTGGTGAAGCAGCATTGTGCAGCTCTGTTCCCATGGGACAGTCCCTTCCTGGCCCTATTGTCCTGGACCGCATTTCAAATACCACCATGGACATGGGAGACTTTATTATTTTCTAATGCAGACCCTGAGGTCAAGCAATTTTAATCATGTTTAACCCAAGGGTGAGGACAACTGGCTAGGACGAGGAGGACATTAGCTGGTTCCCACTCCACCCAGCTCCAAGTCCAGGGGACGTGCTGCCCTTTGCCTGGGATGCAGCAGGTCACAACTCCTGCTGCAGCACTGCACAAAGAGCAGCCCCACCATACCTCGAGCCTAAAACACCCCATAAATTTAAAACCTCAGAAAATGCAATGGAAAACCTAGGTCCTGAAGGAAGCTGAGGATGTTCTTGAGCTGTGGGAGGTGTGGAGCCAAGGGCATGCTGCAAATGAAGAAAGGCTGTTGCCCACCAGACACAAAGAATAAACATCAGACACAGGAACACCTACTTCTAGGGGCTGTAACAGCCTGAAATACCCCAGACTGCTATACCAGGTTTCCTACAGTTGTCATAATGCGAGCCCTTAGCTTGACTCCTATATTTACTCCCTAAGGCTGGTGATGGCACTTGTCTTTTGCCCAGTGATATACAGCAACCAAGTGATACCCTTGCACCCCACCATGTTGCCAGCATGCCACATTTCCATCCAACCCTACAAGCACACAGACCAACAGGCAGCTTGGGAGCACCAGGGAACAGAGGTTTGAGGGCTTTCCTCTCCTTTGGGCAGAAACTGTGGCACAAAGGAAATCCCAGTGGCAGCTGAGCCCCATGCTGTGAGGGAAGGGCAGGCTGGTGGTGCCTATATGTTGACTGATGCAACAGCTTAGTGACTAACTCCCAGTGCGATCAAGGTCTGAGTCCCACAGCAAAATGTGACTTCAGTGCATGATTTGGGAATGGCTAATCCATCAGAGCATCAAAGTCTCTTCCCTCTGTGCAGCACAGGCATAACTCCAACTTCAATGGTTAGTGTGAGGATCAAAACCATTTGAAAGAGCAGAGGATGCTCAGACAGCCTGCTGAGAGCAGAGATACCCAACAGTAGCTACACGTGTTTTGCTCTACGCAATTCTCCTTCGTACCTGTGTTTGGGAGGGATTCTCTCCAGGACCATTTTGACAGCTGGCTGAGCTGTCCTTCCCATGTGGCCCAGGTTTCTTGCTGCACAGTAGAGGGAAGCCTGCCAAAGACACACATTTTTTTCCATCACATTGATACTGGTTTTGTCTTAAATAAAGTTTGAAATTAAAGAACAAGAACAGAAAGTTAAACAGTCATCTGGACACAGTTGTACCTGAAGAGCTGACCTTTCAGTAATGAAGTTTATGGCCTCACTCACATGTGTGGGCAATGCTGTGCCAAACACACATTGGTATTTTTAGCAGTGGTCCTGAACTGCATCCACTTTTTGGCTGGACCTAGTAAAATGGCTTTAGAGTTCCGGGAAACTTTCTGGAAAACCAGCCTTAAAAGCAGAGGCAGTCAAAACAACCAGCAACTCTGGAAGCTTTGGGCAGTTCCAAGAAATGAAGAAAATGGATGACTTCCAAGAAGGCTGTCTGTCAGAATGGGAGAGAATGGGACATGCAATCACCTGCAGGCAGTAAGGATAGAAATAATCCTGTGGTCTCCCAAGCCAGGCAAACAGAACAGCATGCTGGGAGCTCTCCTAGGATCAGACAAGGGAACTAATTGCTAGAGGCCTTGAACCAAAACTAGCACCGATAGACCTGCTGGAAGAAAAAGTAGGGAGTCAGGGGGGCTCTCTAATATTTGTGCCTGTGGGAACTTTACATAATAAATAATCTTTGGACAGAATAAAAGTATCCGTGAGCCAAGATATTACCATGTCAAGCTGTAACAAACTATGACAAGTATATTTATAGGTGAATTATTAACTCCCAATTATTAGTTCTGAAACCCACAAAGGTTCCAAAAGCAAACTTTGAATCTTCTACATAGGAATTTAAATATGTGTAAGGACACAAGCAACACACCAGAGAAAGTAGACAGCAGACTTTAGAAGAGACGAGCCAGGAAGAGAGGCCCAACTTTCCTTTCCTCTCAGTGTCTCACCTATTTGCTCCCAATCTTGATTAAATCTGTCATGTTTTGTCAAGAGCAGAGGGAAATGATGAACTGGAGTTCGTTAAGGAACTCCTGCAGGGACTAGCAACCAGGGGATGACCTTTATGTTCTGTAAAGTGAATTAAGTCATGGGAAAACAGGAAAATCAAGAATTAGGACAAAAAATCCCACCATCACCTGCATAAATGAGCCAAACAGGTTTAGCCTGATCCACTAAAACCCTGAGCCTCCTGACACAGGCAAATGTTATAACTCAGCATAGCAGGGGAAATACAACCGCTGCAGCAGCAACAGCCATAACACCAACAAGGGCATAAACCCCACAGCCAGGGGTCAGCGGGGAAGCGGCACATGCCCACGGGAACAACTGTTCCCTACAACAGCTCCTGTGGGTGTGCATGTGCTTACACAGACAGGACCTGCACATGCAGGAGCACTGCTCCATGCAAAGCCATAGCTTGCTGGCTTTCACAGACTCACAGAATGGTTGAGGCTGGAAGGGACTGCCGAGCGTCATCTAGTCCAACCTCCCTGCTCAAGCAGGGTCACCTACACTGCTCAGGATTGTGTCCAGACAGCTTCAAATATCTCCAGGGAAGGAGACTCCATCACCAGGCAACCTATTCCAGTGCTGGATTTATTCCCACCAAGACGCTGAATTTGCAGCTTCACATTCAAAACAGGATCTAAAATAAAAAAAAAAAGCAGCTCCCTAGGGCACCATCATGATCTGTTTGACCCAAAAGCTGCTCCAAGTCACCAAGATAAATTAGGAACACAGTATTCCCTGTGGCCATGGGATAGGGATTAAAGATCTTGAAAGGTAATATCCTGCTCTGAGCCTTTCAGCCAATATAACCATGATACCGATTCCTTTCCTTGGCCACGTACCTTGTGCTGTTTATGAAACATACGTGTTTTGGGAAATAAGTCCGAAAAGAAGACGGATTTTTTCTTTCATGGGACTGATGATCATATGAATTCTTATAACCAAACCTTAAGTGGATTAAATATAGAAACTAAGACTTAGTGATCCTCCAGAGAGTAAAAAAAAGCCTTTATTCTGTTCCCAGTGTACACTGAATGTGCTTTACATGCGCTTTAACAGCATACTTGAAGTTTCAAATTCATGCAGTGCATGGCTTCCCTCTCAAAGGCTTGTAGCTCCCTCTAGAGCCCTTTAGGCACATGGAAGATTTTAATAAAATGATGGGAAAATGAATTGGGAAACGATTAGGTAATGTCCTTGCTAAGAACAAGCTGGAAATGAGTTGAAATTAAGAGTGACCCACAGTCTTCTCTTCTTTCCTCTCAATGATTCTTTTTTCCCCCCATCAAACCTGTAATAAGTATAATTGACAAAGATGCCATGAGACTTTTCTCCCTCCCCATCCTGGGCATGGATCAGCCTTCCCACAGAAGGAGAGATCTGGTTCGAGACAATCTTAAGAACCTGAATGTGCGCAAGTCCATGGGACCTGATGAAATCCATCCGCACGGCCTGAAGGAGCTGGTGAATGAAGTTGCTAAGCCACTGTCCATCATATTTGAAAAATCATGGCAGTCAGGTGAAGTTCCCGACGACTGAAAAAGGGAAATATAACCCCCATGTTCAAGAAGGGGAAAATGGATGAGCCAGGGAATTACAGACCAGTCAGTCTCACCTCTGTGCCTGGCAAAATCTTGGAGCAGATTCTCCTGGAAGGCATGCTAAGGCACATGAAAATCAACAAGGTGCTTGGTGACAGCCAGCATGGCTTCACTAAGGGGAAATCCTGCCTGACCAATTTGGTGGCCTTCTATGGTGGGGCTACAGAACTGATGGACAGGGGTAGAGCAGTTGATGTCATCTACCTGGACTTGTGCAAAGCATTCGACACTGTCCCACATGACATCCTTCTCTCTAAATTGGAGAGACATCAATTTGATGGATGGACCACTCGGTGGATAAAGACCTGCCTGGATGGCCGCACACAAAGAGTTGTGGTCAATGGCTCAATGTCCGGCTGGAGATCAGTAACGAGCGGTGTCCCTCAGGGATCGGTGTTGGGACCAGTCTTGTTCAACATCTCTGTCGCTGACATGGACAGTGGGATTGAGTGCGCCCTCAGCAAGCTTGCCGATGACACCAAGCTGTGCAGTTCGGTTGATACGCTGGAGGGAAGGAATTCCATCCAGAGGGACCTTGACACCCTTGTGAGGTGGGCTGATGCCAACCTCATGAAGTTTAACCATGCCAAGTGCAAGGTCCTACACCTGGGTTGGAGCAATCCCAGGCACAGCTACAGGTTGGGCAGAGAAGTCCTGCGGAGTCAATGGGTGATGGTCAATGAGAAAACGAACATGAGCCGGCTTCAGTGTGTGCTCGCAGCCCAGAAAGCCAACTGTATCCTGGGCTGCATCCAAAGGAGCGTGACCAGCAGGTTGAAGGAGGTGATCCTGCCCCTCTACTCTGCCCTCGTGAGACCTCACCTGGAGTATTGTGTGCAGCTCAGCATAAAAAGGACATGGAACTGTTGGAACAAGCCCAGAGAAGGGCCACGAGGATGATCAGGGGACTGGAGCACCTCCCGTATGAAGACAGGCTGAGGAAGTTGGGGCTGTTCAGCCTGGAGAAGAGAAGGCTGCGTGGAGACCTCATAGCAGCCTTCCAGTATCTGAAGAGGGCCTATAAGGATGCTGGGGAGGGACTCTTCATTAGAGACTGTAGTGATAGGACAAGGGGTAATGGGTTCAAATTTAAACGGGGGAAGTTTAGACTGGATATAAGGAAGAAGTTCCTTACTGTGAGGGTGGTGAGGCACTGGAATGGGTTGCCCATGGAAGCTGTGAATGCTTCATCCCTGGCAGTGTTCAAGGCCAGTTTGGATGAAGCCTTGGGTGAGATGGTTTAGTGTGAGGTGTCCCTGCCCATGGCATGGGGGTTGGAACTGGGTGATCTTAAGGTCCTTTCCAACCCTAACTATTTTATGATTCCATGACTCCATTTGCTGTTCCAGAGAGGCCTCTCAGAGCACAGCAAGTCCCCAGGACTTAGAGGTACTGTGAATCCTAGGAAACAGAGCCCCATCAAGACACATTTATCTGTCTGTGACTGCTGCCTCTCTGGTAACAGCCCATCAAAGGGGATGGTCTGCTGAAGGTAAGCTTGGTGAGAGCACCCTTTCAGGACTGTGAAATAGCCCTGTCTATTCCCTACCGAGATTTGCAGAGTAATCCGAGATGCTTGGCATTGGGAGCCTCCAAGGGTGGGTGGTGACAGTGCTCGCATGTACCTGCAGGCATTTGACTGAGGCGAGTCCTGTGCCAGGAAGGAGAGATGCAGCTTGTCTCCTCTTTTGAGGTATAAAAATTCATCCCACAGTGGGTACTTGCATATAATCTTAAAGCCTGGTGTACATTCAAATCAAGCAAGCCCAAATGCCTCTGCTTGAATTCTGAGTCCTGTAACACACACAGGATTCCTAATTGTTTTGGGAGCAGAGTCTTAACTTCTCTAAAGACAACTGGTACTCTGAGCAGCAGCAGAAAACCCCCTCATTGCAGAGGGCAGGGTTAAAGAGCGGCTGTCACCACCATTGCCCAAAAGCCACTGTCTCCACGCCCAGAAACTGTGGCACTCAGTCACGTCCTCATATCCCTTCCTTCCACTGCTGTACATTCGTGTTTCATACTTAAGGCTGTCAACATCCCAGTCTAACAGCTATGACTGCATTTCTAATGAAGTCCGGAGAGGATTTGGGATACTGGTAAGCTCGCCCAGCTTTCATACTGGTATGATCAGTCCTGGAAGGTATCTGTGAGTCCTTAGCAAGGACAGGAAAGCTTTTGGGAGGATCTGGGATCCTGGTAAGCTCACCCAGCTCCCATACTGGTATAATTAATCCTGGCAGGTACCTGTGAGTCCTTAGTGGGGACTGGGCAGGCACTGTGTGTGCTTGCAGAGGGGCTGTGCCACGGCAGGCAGGCAGCCCTGTTATGAGCAGCAGAGGTGTAACCAAGGATGGATAGCCTGTTTTGGGACTGCAGCCCAGGAGAAAGTTTACCTTGATGGAGCCTCAGCTGCTAGGGGTGACTGCACTGTGTTTTGGCAGTGGCAGAACCAATTGTTGCCGAAATCTCTGCATTCCTGTGCATGGGCAGAGACGGGTCAGCCCAAACCAAGTCAAACTGCTAGAGGACAAGAACTAGTAACACTTATGTTCACCAAGTCACCTCTTGGACTAATCTCTCCCTTTTTGTAACCTAGAAACATCACCTGTTCCTTTTTTCCAAAAAAAAAGAATTGATAGAGCACCTGTAGTTGAGTGTAAATAGGCACCTCCAGGAGCATCCCTAATAAGTGATAACTCATGATGTTAGAGCCAATGTTACACCCGAGCAAAAGCAATCAGTGCAGGCAGGGCTAGAGAGAGAATATATGGCTCTGGGATAGGGGTGCATTTTCTTGGAGAATTAGAGCAGACACCACTTGCTGATGCATGTAATAATATAGGGAACAGCCACACGGGGAATTTGATTTTTCTGAGGATTACAGAAGGGAAAAGAAGTACTTGGTGCATTTTAGATCTCTATTTTCTCGTGTAGTGACTCAAAATTACAAAACTTCCAAAGGCAAGGAGGAGAAGCATATTTAAGGGACAGAACAGAGAAGACAGCACAAATAGAAGACACAGTTGCTTCTCGGGCTTCACTCACTCGTTTGGAGTTTTCTCCTCCAATTCTGATACTTATTTAACGCGGTTGAGTGAAAACTGTTGGCTCTCTGCAGTGCTGAACAGAAACAGCAAAAACACCTGGTCAGATAGCACAGCAAAAACAGAGGTGGGAAAAAGGGGAGGGGGGGCACGCGGACGACGGCGACAACAAAACCTCCAAACCCGAGCCGGGATTTCCCTGGCCCTCTCCCAGCCGCGGCGGCCGGGAGGGGGCAGCGCGCACCCGCCACCGGCCCCGCCGCGGGAGGCAGGGACAGGCTCGGAGGGAAGGAGCTCACGTAAATCCTTCTGAGAGCCAAGCTGCTCGTGAAGACCTGGCTAACCCGGCTGGTATGGTGGGAAGGAAGCGACTGCAGGGAGGAAGGTGTCAGCAGCTGGGTGTGGAGGAGAACGTGGAATTGCGGAAGAAAAAGGATAAAATCCTTCAGTGGCTGCATGGCACCACACACTGCTGGGCACGCTTTAGGGGTTGCTGCTGCCCTTTTTTTCTCGTGCCCTAAGCAAGTGCTCCATTATTGAAGAGTCAATTTAAACTGCTGTATGAAATCCCCTCTTTTCTGTTTGGATTAAAAATGCATATATGGATGTGGGGGTGGTGGGACATGGGAAGAAATGAATGCCATGGCCTTTTATTTTCTGCAAAACAATTTCTTCGGCTGTTTTTAGCACATCTTTTAGTTCTGACCTTCCGCAGCTCCAGAAATGAGTTTCTATTTGGAAGCAGACTGTTCCCAAACCTCTCCCCACCCCTCTGCTAGCTACATCCTTTGTGCTTTCACCTGACACAAAATTTTTAAGCAGCTACTGATAGAAATACTAATTTAGCCAAGCAGAACTCTCTCTTGCTTCCCAACATCGCCCTTCCTTAGGCAACAGTGTGGATACTGCCAATAACATCCCAAATTTTTACCAGTAGGAAAACATTCTTCCCACCCTGCAATCTAAGGGTGAGGCACAAGTACTCTGGGTTACACTGTATCTTGGAAATGGTGTTTCAGTTACAGCGCCCAAAAGGTAGAAACCCCCAAACGAAGACATCTTTAACAGGTTCAACCTGGCTACACTGCAGGCAACAGCCTCCGCTCCCCCCATCCCTGACTTCATCCCTCAGGAGAGGCTGCTGGAGCATCCTCAGGTCAGGACGTTGCTTACCATCAGCAACTTTGGATGTTTTGGGGCTTTCCTCCAGTGCCACAGAGCTCCTGGTGAGCGATGCCCACCTCTGGACGGGGCTCGGGCAGGTGGGGAGCTCCAGCAGCAAGGTCTGTCCTCCGTTCACTTCCGAATTTGATGAGTCGCCGTTAAAATCAGACTCCTCCAGCTCGGAGCTACAGGGTAACAGGGCAAGATGGAAAGAAAGCAGGACATTTCAGAAGATGCATGGCATGGAGGTATTCATTCCCCTTCAGTGCAACAAGCATTGACAGCAATGCAGGCCACAGAGAAATAGGTGTTTTTGCAGCCAGAGTCACCATCCTCATTTTGCTCCTTTCACTGCTATTATTACAGGCCTGTAATTTGCTCTAGGTGCAACACAGCTGAGCTACACCTATGCCCATCAGACTTCTGCTGCCTGGATTCATGCCCACAACCTTTACTTTCAGCACCTGAAATCAAACTGCTGCCAAGACAAACTTTGGTGAAATACCACTTCTTGGTTAGCAGGGATAGGTCCTTCTGCCTGCAAGGCTGTACACCAGGATGAAGAGAGGTAAACAGCATTTGCAATACTGTAATTGGCCTAGAAACAAGGCACAAGGGACAAAACACTACATTTTTACCTTTTACCCCCATAGATTTTTTGGAAATCAGAGGTATACCATAGAGAAAGAACTCACTGGAGGCCAAGTCCTGATCGGTCAGAGCAGCTTGCTCTGACTGTGAGGTGGGCTTCACCCTCAAATTAAATACAGTTGTTGCTGAACCTGGCCTCATTGCTCATGTGGGATGTGGAACCAGCTCCCCTCTCTGGTGGCAGCTGAGCACACCATCACCTGGCAAACAGTGGTGGTGCCAGTACCTCCGCAGCTGCCTCGTGGCACTGCTCCGGCAGGAAACAGGCTCCTGGGAGCTGTTTGCCTCGTGGCCTCACCGGAGCTGCTCACCTTGGCAACAGGCACTTTGAGGCCTTCCGATGTGACCATGTTCCCAGTCACATCCCACCATCCCACTCTGCATGCTTCTAATGCAAACAATACTGCTAACCTAATTCATATATTTATCATGACGATTAATAGCTCTACCTTAAAAAGAAGAGCTTATGCCATGAGTAGTCCTGCTGGCATGGCAAGAGAAAGCTGTTTGGTGTTTATACAGCACGACCTTGTAGAAAGTAAAGATCGACTGTAACAGCCCAAGGCACAGCCCAGGAGACAGGAGAAATAAGAGTTAAAGAAAAGGCTGCAGTCTGTATAAAGCCAGGGTAAATGCCAGACGGGTAGCGCCCACCATCCTGGCTTTGCCCAGTTCAAACCAACAGTGCTGGGAGGCAAGGATGGGAGCACAGCTCCAGGTGCGTTGCTTTCTCAGTAGGCTGAATCAGCATGGCCTTAAGTTTCAGCACTAACACGCACTTTTAAGATGTCTTTCAAGCTGTGTCGAGCATAGAGAGAGATATAGTTAAAAATACAAATATATGAAGTCTTTGATAGTTGAGATCCTGTGTGGATGGAGAGATACCACACTGAGATTGGGCAGAGCGCCACACAAAAGAAAAAGACCTGCCATTAACATTGATTGATATATTTCTGTTTTAAAGAGCAAAATGTTTATTTTCCTTGCCTGGCAAGGAGGTAAGTGCTATAGTGCGAGCTACGGCTTCTCCTCTGATCTCTGCTTGCTAGGTGGTCATTATCCACAAGTACCTTAAGCCTGAGCTGCAGAACCACGTCACTGAGCTGGTGGTTTTCCCCATCCCACTAAGTGCCCCACAGCCAGCTCAGCAGTGCTATTTGTCACTTACTATTTCTCTCGTGCCCCATTTTTCAGCAGGGGCTGGCCTCTGGAGAGCACCACAGCAGTGGGGGGCTGACCTCAGGGGTGATAGCTGCGGCGTCACCCCTGGCAGGAAACCAGGGGCCTTACTACCTGGCCACAAGGGCTATGAAAGTGAAGGGAGCTGATCCCTCAGGTCAGAGGGATTAGCTGACTCTCACTGCTGCCTGGGCGCAGCGGGCACCACAAGCCGGAGGGTATTGGTGAGGGATACAAGCACAAGCTCTGCAGAGGGTCTGTCAAGCAGGTAGGAAACCCTGTGTCCTGTGGGAGAGGAATTCTGGAGAGGTTCCTCCTTCTCCAGACCCAGGCAGCAGAGCACAAAAGCCATTTAAAACCACTGTAGGGAATAGAAAGTTGCATTTCTGAAAGTGTGACTCTCCACAAACCACACACAGCATCACGGATAGGTGTTTAAAGGACATCAAGAATTTGAATGAGCATCCTTACAGAGCAATAGCTTAGTGTTTGCAACAGTTGGCTTTGGGTTCACCCTGATTTGTTTTTTGCCTTTCCCCCACCCTGCTCTCCCTCTTCTATTTTAGTCCTCAGCAAGGAGAACTGCTTTAGTCCCTAGATACCCATCTAATCCTTAGACGGAATGAACTCCTACAGAATCCTGCCCAGAAAGCCAATACATTCTAATTTGCACACAGAAATCGGGCTTCCTCTGACAGCTCCCCAGGGGTCATCAAATTTCAGATTTCTTAGGGGTGGGCAGGAGCTGGGAGAGGCCTGTGGTGTGGAGCTGCAGGATGATGCCTGAGGTGGGAGGCAGCCACACCACAGGATGCACCTTTTGCCATAGGCACACCACACCCGCTGCCCTAATCCCTGATCCGACGTATTTCGGTGCACAAAGAGCTGAACCCGGGCTGATCAGGACAATGTTTTTCCCTCTGATTCAGGCCCCTGTGTGGGATGCAAATGTTTGAAGATTTGTTGCAGAGTGACTCATGTGTCTTGGGGATTTATGGCTGCGGTAAAGAACAGTTGTTATTCTGAGCGGTTTGTCTTTTCCTTCCTTCCTCCCTCCCTCCCCCCCCCCCGAGTTGTACATACATTCTGTACTGTATTTTGCTATATTTTTCCTTAGTGTTCCAGAGAAAACCAAGCAGCTCTTACAGGTTATTTTATAGGGTTACTTGTATTTTAAAGTACCTGCTTGTGTCACTGGTGACCATGACTCGGATAGCGAGAAGGTTGTGCTCCGTCATCTCCTCCTCGGGGATGACCCTCACGGTGGCCCACTCAGGGGAAGGAGGTGAGAACCAGCTCTCCAAGTCACGGCACTCAGAGATGCTCTTTGCCTTCTTTGGGGAAGTGGGCTCATCAGCTGTGGGCAGGCAGTGATCTGGGAAAGCACAAAGGTGACAGCAAGGTATTAGGAGAGGACAGAGCCCATGGGAGGAACCTCGCCCCCATGTTCAAGTGGTCCTTGGCCATCACTGGTGGTTTCTGTGTGAGGCCCTGTCTGTTCCCACAGGCACAGGCAAGGTGTGTGCACTGACAGCCTGGCACAGCAAGAGCATCCCTTCAGCCCAGTACAGCCCTGCTGGGGTTCATCAGCTCAGATGCAGAGGGAAGCAGACTTCAGGGGCAGCCTCAGCTTTTGCAGCTACGAATCCTCGCTCTGCTCCATGGGACAGTCAGCAGGCTGGATGCCTGGTGGCAGCAGTACGACATGTGCCAGCCACACAAGTAGGGATTTATGGTCCCTTTTCAGGTCCCTGATTTACATTTATGTGTGGCAGGAAGCACATGGACCAATCTTGCCTGGGGGGCTAAGGCTTCAGCCTTTCATTGGAAGTTTAGGTCAATTTAGGACAGCAGGAGCAAGAAAGTAAAAACAGGCTCTTATTTTTGAGTGTGTACAGCACAATCAGACACTGATTTGGGAAGAAGCATCATCACAGCAGCTAAACAGCACCATCCCTGAACTTCACATTCAGGCAGGAGGAATGAAGAATAAAGACAAGTTTCCTTTGCTCACCTCAGGTAATACAAACAGAGCCACAGACAGATCAACCCTCCCTGTGAAATCCTTAGTTTTGGAGCAACCTCACCTATCCACAACCTCCTGCCCAAGCAAATACAAACATACAGCTGCACAAGTTCCCCTGGGCCTTGGTGCAGAAGGGACAAATGACAAGCTCCCAGAGAGTGGCTTTGCTCAGTTTACCTCCCATGTGTGGTGCTTTTGCCGGATTTAATTCAACACTGCTGCTTCTAATTTACAACTGTATAGGTGGAAGAAAACCCAACCCGGACCTGGGACAAGGCTTACTTTCTCATTTATTAGAGAGACCTATCTAGTAAACATCAATTAAACTCCTCTTTAACTTTGAGTTCCTCCATTTATTGCAAGAGTGTATTTCCCTCCCCCATCCTTTACCTCACAAAGGCTTTTAACTCAAACATCAAATGTATGCATGGGTTGAATGCAGAAAACAAACCCACAGGGAACAGCAATGCTACAGGCAAATCCCAGACCATCAGGAGGATTATATACACCACAGAAGACAGAGTACGAGCCCATGGGACCTACAGAGCAGCAATTTCCCACCTGCAGGTACTGCAGCTGCACAACCCACACCACACCGAGCTCTAACCCCATCTCAGATCACTTGGTCCATCTGTCACTGTCCCCTCTCTGGTACCATTCCTATAGAGCTCTGAAACAAGGTTGCAACAGCAGAGCTGTGCCTTTATTTTGCATGATTCATGTAGCTCCTGGCCTCCCCCAGAAAAAGAAAACTTCTGCACCACTCCCAGTTATTGTCCATCCCCTCTCTGTGTCTGAAAACAAGCACCACAGAGGAAAGCCCAGCTGCTGGTGGCAGGGATGACTGCTTTACAGGTACAACTCTTATGCTGGCTTGGTGAAGCTCTCTTATTTGTGCTCACAGACTGACTAACATGGCTTTGAGTCCTTTTTTTTTTTATAGTTTTACCGATTCGGTCTTTCCCAAGTGACACAGACCTACACACTTTCCGAAGGGCAGAAGGGACCTCTGTTTTTTCACCCTTCAGAGAAGTCAGTGTATTTTCTTGGCTTGAAAACTCCTCACAACTCCACCTCTCACAAGAGTTTTGTGTGGTTTTGTGGTGTTTTCTTAAATACTTCCATGTACAAGAAGCCAAGGAGGATGGAGGAGTGGCTTGCTGCTTCTTCAGAGCAGGATGCTCCCATGTGAAAACATGTGCTCAGGCTCTACATCCAGCTCACTAGCACCACAGCAGCCACGTGTTTCTTGACCACAGATATTTCATTTCCTTTGGGAGATGGAGAAAACTCATCCCTCTCTGACTTGTGTTTGACTTCTACTTTGTCCCAGCCAGACCACCCACCCCAAAGCTGCCCACAGCAGTGCACAGCAAGCCTGGCAGCATGGGAAACCCTCCTAGGAACAGCCCCTTTCTTCCCCCAGAGCTGGGCTGGACCACAACGTGCCATTTCTACTCTCCAGAAGCAAAGCAGAAAGGAGTATCTTGAGCCAATTTGTAAAACCCAAGTCCTTCAACTTGTCTTTCTCCTTAGAAAAAGCTGCATTTTATATGAAAATCAGAGCAAGCAAAGCCAAACGAAAGTTTGCCAGCTTTGTCTATAAACTTTGTACCCATGCTGGCAATAAGCACTGCCCAAGGTTGCTGCAAGTGGCTGTTAAAGAAAGTCAGTTCCGCCATTTGCTCCATGCTCAGTACATACTCCTTCCTCACCTTGCTAGCAGGAAAGAGGAGAAAACATGTTTATGACTAACAGACACACAGCTGGAGAGCATTGAAACCCACAGACAGACAGACTACCTAAAACGATTCCCAGCATGGTTCCTGAATGTGAACAGATTTCCAGCCAAATCCCTCTGCAATAGCCCATTACACATCCAGTTTTCAATCATGATAGATGTAATAGTTAGAGCCAGTGAAGGGCCCTCAGGATGTCTTCCAGGACACTAGATGAGGTGATGGATGGCACCATCACCTCTCTGAAGAGTTACATATTGAGTTACATATTTACATTTCTGGTATCAATTGAATTCAGCACCTAGAAGCTGCCCCCATCAGGAATCTGTTAGACAGCTGAGTCCTCCCTGAGCAAGATAAGCTTGCATTCACAGCAATACCAATCAGGTTTAAGATCAGCAACTGGCACCAGCACCCACTTCAATCCAGCAGATCCCTGCCCATGGCAGGTGGGTTGGAACAGATCTTTACAGGTCCCTTTCTAGCCCAAGCCACTCTAGGATTAGAAAGCAACCCCACTCCTCACTAACATATTTAATCAATATTTGTACTGTGACATATGAAGTTGAATAAACTATGTTGCACTCAACTCCATAGAAGCAGAGACTGGGGTGCCTGGGTGTTTCAGTGTGTGGGATGTGCACTCATACATGGGGTTACACACTCCACAGGACATTTAAAAAGATTAAATTTAATGCTGCTGCTTCTCATTGCAGGGCTGCACCTTGGGTAACAGGCTCAAACAAAGAGCAAAGGTGTCCCAGACACCCAAGTGTCGGGGTTTTGTAGGCTCTGATGACGTTACACAACTTGACTGGTCTCTCCTGAAAGCAGCCCTTCCTGCAGCACCAGACTGAACCCCAGTCCCACAGGCATGCACTGCATGGCGAAACACAGCTCGGAAGAGCACTTTGGGCTCCTGCAAGACAGAGATTCCAAGCCCCAAGAACAAGAGGGGTACAGACCAAGTAGAGAGAGCAGGGACAAGCTGCTGCTGGCTTTGTGTAAACACTGCGGAAGAAGAGCATGGCCATTTCAAACAAAAGCCTGGAGGCTCTGCAGGCCTGGAGTGCCCCTGGGAATTATTACCTGCCTCTCCACAGCAATGCAAATAAATCTAATCAGCCATCAGATGCGACTCCACCACTAGCCATTGCTGCCATCTATTTTAACGGAGTATCAAAAGGAGAAACATGATTTAGACGAGGAACCATGAAAGAAATCTGGGAGTTCTTTAAAGCTCTTATTTTGCACAAGATAAGAAGGGCTGTCTGAACTAACTTCTGAATCAGCCCAAAGGCTGAGTACTTACACAAAAGTGAGGCATACATTTATGCTCCTGAACAGATGGCTAGGCTAAATAAGCAGCAGCCCTTTTACCTTCCCATTTCAGCTGGGAGCTTTGCAGCTCCCTCTTGAATCCTGGACAGCCTCACAGCACCAGCAGTCAGGTCCTCTGTGAGACATCAGCACAGTGAGGCTGAGCAGGAGCATACCAATTTTTTGGCAATCTGACTCCAGGGTGGAAACCAGGCTCTAAACCTCAGCGCCCTGATTCCCATCACACTGCAGACTGACGGTTGAACACCTTAGACTGGTACCTCTAGTGACCATTGCAATTAACTGGTCATGCACTGAGCTGCTGGTAAACCAGCCCTCATGGAGGTGCAGATGGGTCCTGGTTGGAGGCTGAGCTGTGCTGGGAGGTAAGCGCAAGTTGTTTGGCACTTCTGGGCACATACAGCAGCCACATGCTCTCTGGGGAAACTCAAGCTCTGGCAGAAGTACTGAGGTGGCCATTCAGCTGCTAAATCCAAGGTGGCAATTCTCATGTAAGCTCCTGCTTGAGCCTTTCATAAGCCTGTGCCTGGCTGTACTTACCACATTATCCATTTCCTCATCAGAAGACACAAAAATGGCCAAACTGCTACTCCTGAAGGGGAAGTGGCACAAGAGTGGACCCCTAAGGCTGGATCCCTGAGGCAGCCTGTGGTGCTGCAGGCAGCTCTGTGGCCAGCCAGCACTCTCATTCCGCATCAGGGTTCCTGCCCAGGACAGGAGATTTTCTACTAGAAGCTAAGAGACTGAGTCAGAGGAATTGAATTTTGTAAGATAAACACACACAATGGAAAAGCTGGAGAGACATTCAGTGTGTAGGACAGAAAAGGGCACAGCCCCATTTCCTGCCGATGCAAACTGGTGCTGTGGCACTGACCTCCGTGTGCCAGCACCAGACATTATCAGAGGCGAGCCCAGTCCTCAGGAAACAGTCACTCAAAATAGCATTTGCGTAAGATCTTATTTGATTTCCATCGTGCTCGCTTCACATTTCCTACTGTCTGTCTCAGAATGCCAAAGACCTCCAGCAGTGAGTACTCCTGCTCTGTAGCACGGTTTGGGCCGGAGTCCCTACTACTCCTTTGCTAAAATGTTCACATCCTTTACATGGGGTGGCATGGCCAAGGCATACATGGGAAGGTGTTAATCTTTGGTCACAGCCAGCAATCTGTCACACGAATACGGCTGCAGGGACAGGCAGCACATGCCACGAGTATGTTGCAGCACACTGCTGGCCAGTTAAAGTGAAACCTCCTGACAACTGACCTGTGG